AATTATTAGATTAATATAATATATTATATAATAATTTTTATTCTCGTTTAGTTCTATACAGTTTAAAATTATCCTTATAATTTCTGTTTTCTGTGAATAGTCTTCTACATCTTTGCTTTGGCTAATTCCTAGGTATTTTGTTGAAGTTACTGGAAATACCTTTTTAGAATTTCATTTTTATTTGTTTGTTTATTGCTGGTATGTAGAAATAGAATTATATTTTTGTATATTGACTTTGTCTTCAGTGGGCTTGATAAATTCGCTGGTTGATTCTAATACCTTATCTGTGGTTTGTTTTGGGTTTTATAAACATATAGTCATGTTGTCTATGATTAGTGGCTGTTTTATTTCTTTACTTTCAATCCTTATGCCTCCTGTACCCTTCTTCTTGCCTTACTGTTCTGGCTAAGCCCACCATTTCAATGTCGAAAAGAAGTGATGTTAGTGGGCATCTTTGTCTGAATCCCATTTCAGAGGAAAGCTTTCAAGCTTTCAACATTTTATCATTAAGAAGGATGTTTGTGGGGGGCTGGCTGGGTGGCGCAAGCGGTTAAGTGCGCGTGCTCCGCTGCGGCGGCCTGGGGTTCGCCAGTTCGGATCCCAGGCGCGCACCAACGCACCGCTTGTCAGGCCGTGCTGTGGTGGCGTCCCATACAAAGTGGAGGAAGATGGGCATGGATGTTAGCCCAGGGCCAATCTTCCTCAGCAAAAACAGGAGGATCGGCAGATGTTAGCTCATGGCCGATCTTCCTCACAAAAAAAAAAAAGAATGATGTTTGTGGTAGGCTTGTTTTTGTGGATACTCTTTACCAATTAACAGTGCTCAAGCTAGAATACACGGAAGGTAGTTTCTGGATTCCTTAATATTTTTCCAATTCAAATTTCCATCTGCTTCCTCTTATGGTTCCACATCACTCAGCGTTTATGCTGAGTGTCCTTCCTGAGCATCCTCTCTGGCTGCTGGGTCCCCTCACATCTGTTGCTCATAGGGGCACAGAGCTGGTTGTTGGAGAACCCTACGTGTTAGGAACTGCTCAGGTGGTAGAAGGAGAAGCATTCTCTACCCTCTGTGGGCTGGCTGTTAGCTCCCTTCCACGCCACCTGGAGTCTGTTGTTACCTTGCCAAGATGTGTGGAGGAAGACTGTCCTCTCACTGATCTCCCTGGACTATCTCACTCTCAATGGCAGGGAAGATGCAGCTGGTCCTGTCAAATTCTCCTTGGGCTTTCGAGGAGACTTGACCTCCTCATACAGGGACAAGATTGATTTTTATTTTGGAAATTATATTTTCAAGATAGAGTTATTTAAAACATTCCCATTCATTTGGAAACCAAATAACATATCACTAAAACAACCAAACAACAACAAAAAGCTCAAAAAACCTCGGATTAAAAGGAAACCATCAACAAAATACAAAATATTTAGAACTGAATGATTATGTAAACACTACATGTCAAAAGGTAGTTTCCTTCCTTCCTGTCTTCTTCAAAATTTCTGCTTCTCTGGGACAACCATGTCTGTCTGTCTGCCTTCCTTCCTTTCATCCCTCTTTCCGTCTTTTTCTTCTGAGTGTGTGTGTGTGTGTGTGTGTGTTGATTCGGATTCAGACACGGTATCTATTGAAGTGAGCAAGATACTTTAACTTACCAATTGAGATATTTATTTTTCTCTTCTCCAATGTAAATCAGGTAGAATGGCACTGACCAATGGGTCAGGTACATCATCAACAATAAAAAAAAATATATATTGATAAGGTATTTTGAAGAAATGAAGTCATGCCATAGAAACAACTATGTAACTATAAAAATAGTTGGAGTACTTTGAGATTTTGGTGGGAATAATTTTAAACAAATTGAATGTATGTTATACTTAAAATCTGAACTATCAGCTAAATTTTGAAATAGTTTTTTTCCAGAGCATATTGAATATGGATTTATGAAGTTATTTCATCTGTAGTTGACTGATGTTTTATTTCCTCTGTAGTCTAGCTAATGATAGAAAAAATTTTGCCCCCTTGTTTTTTTCCTTAAGAAACAATACAGAGAAATGACTTTCTTGTTTAACGTTGAAGTTAGTTGATGAACGCGAACATTATGTTATAATTTAGTTGTCTAATTCAGTGGCCTTTGGGGTATGGAAAAGAAAAGCTCTATTTGGTTTGACCTCAGGACACAGACATCAGGGAGAATTTAAGGCAATACGTAGTGTCTTTGTCCCTAGTGTTTATCCTGGTGCCTTCCTCACTGCTCTATTTCACTTTTTTAGCACTAAGGAAATGATGAATAAACCAGAAACATTTGCATAAGTGCAGTCAAGTGACTTCTTGATGTATTTTGTACAAATTGGAATCATTCATCTTTATTAAATATCTGGAAGATTATGTAATTTCGAAACTTCTTTCTCCCTCGGCAGAAATAAGAGAGCCGATGTTAGAAAAATAGCATATCGAGTCCTGGTGGATAACTTGAATCCTATCATATTAAATTACGTTAAGAGGAAGAGGTTCCATCAGATATTTCTTGAGGAGATGCCCTGGAAAGCTCAGATGAACCTGTATCTGGCAAGTGCACACTTCAACCTGCTTTTAGTAAAGCTGGGGGAACGTACGAAGATGAAATCTGGCACTTCACATACAATGGTCAGGTATAGTATATTACCAATGGATAATACTTTTTTAGTCTCATGAGCATGGGTTGTATGTGTATGTTTAGGGCTCCTATGTTGATAATAACTTAAAGAGGTTTACAGAATGCTTGTGTCTTTACTGGTCATTGGTGTATTTATTTATTTATTTTGCGAGGAAGATCAGCCCTGAGATAACATCCACGCCAATCCTCCTCTTTTTGCTGAGGAAGACCGGCCCTGAGCTAACTTCTATTGCCAATCTTCCTTTTTTCCCTTTTTCTCCCCGAAGCCCCAGTAGATAGTTGTACGTCATAGTTGCACATCCTTCTAGTTGCTGTATGGGGGACGCGGCCTCAGCATGGCCGGACAAGCGGTGCATCGGTGCGTGCCCAGGATCCGAACCCAGGCCGCCAGTAGTGGAGCATGCGCACTTAACCGCTAAGCCACGAGGCTGGGCCTTGGCATATTTTTTAATTTCTTATCTCAGACTCTTTTCCAAACAAGTATTGGGTATAGGTGCCTATGAAGTACTAATTTGCATATATCTTGAATATATTTGTTGATATAGCTTTCAGTGAAGGGAGAAGGTGTAATTCCAAGAGAAGTGTAATATTGATTGTACAATAACTGTAGATATTAGTGGGCGTTAGGCAATTCTCTGTTTCATTCAGAAGTATATTTTAAGCCTCTATAAACACAGATTATATTTTCTCATACAATGTAAACTTTCTATCATTAATTCAAAAGACATTTGTGCTCTTTTTGAATGTCTTTGGCTAAGGTGTTATGGGAGATAAAAATAAAAGATAAATTCATAATATGGAATACCATTCAATCATTAAAAAAGGTGATGTAGTCTTTCATTAAAAAAAAATACTTATTGAGCACCTATTAGATACAAGGTACTGAGATAGGTGCAACGGGCATACAAACATGAACAGGATATACAAGTTAGAGTCTGGTAGGGTAGATCACAAATATTCACAAATAATGGTAGAAGGTGAAGTACACATAAAGTCTTCTTTGCTCCTAGGAAGAAGGCTTTCCTTTGGCTGAGACTAACAGGAAAGTTTTCATGGGAGGGGCCACTTGGCCTGGGTCTTGATGGATAGGCAAGATTTACAGATGAACAATAGGGAAATGGGCATTCCAGATAGAAGAACATGAGTCATAGCCCAGGGGGGAACCCCAAATGAGAACCCCAAATGATCTCATCAGAATCTAGGGCATATGAAAGGGAGTGACATGAAATAATTAGAAAAGAAGGCTGGTACTAACTAGATCCTGGAGGGTCTTAACTGTCTATTAAATCTGAACTTTAATTTGTATATAGTGGGAGACTGTTAAGGGTTTTTGAGCAGGACTATGATAAGAAATTTCTCTGGCAGCATCATATCAAATGGATTGGAGGAAAGAAAGACTGGTGACAGGGATATGAATTAAGAGGGTATTTATTTCAATAATCCATTGATAAAATATGCAGGTTGAAATCCACAATGAACTTGGTCTTAGTTTGTTTCCCCAGAATTTTGGTTAAAATCATTACCAGACTGAACCTTGGCAAAAACGTCTCCAGATAGATCCCTTTTCTATGAAGGCTAGACCAGACTTGCATTTAAGAAGCAGTTAGACCAACAGGGAAGGCTTTTGGCAAAGTGACCCATTCATCAGGCCATGAGAGGGAAAACAGTTAAGATCAGATGGGCTTCTTTACTGTCCTCTGAACACTGAGAAGTCTTCTCTGAACTTCCCATCATACATGACCATTCATGCATGATTACTTGACAGCACAATAATTAGACAATGACCAAATTTGTGTCAGGATAACTTGGTGCTAAATTCAATTTTATTAAAATCGTTAATATATACTCAGTATTTATTTATTTTTGGTGGAAGATTATTTACTCTTAGAGCTTATCTTAAAAAAGAAATAATGTTGATTGTGGACACATTGCTCTACATAGTAGTCATCTTCATTGAGTTTTGTTTAAATCAAGTGGTTTTAAGTTGATGTAAATTATTGTTCCAGAGCTCTTACAGTGGGTGTAAATCTTCCATTCCCATTTTCAAGGGCCCTTTCAGGGAAATAGATACTGATGTTAAAATTCCTTAGAGCAAAGTTACATTGTATAATTTTAAAATTTAATGGGAAATTGTTTGGCTTTGATTAAATGCCAAAATACATTATGATCCAAAATCTGGGAGCACTAACTCACAAATATTTTAAAAATTAAAGTAGACTGTATTTGACAGATTTAATTCAATTTTGCTCGTATTGTTTTTTTAATGAGGTTTTTTTCCCCCCTTGCAGTTTCCGATCATGTGATCCTAATATGTTCTCACTGTATAATTCGGGAACGGTATTACCAACAGGAAAATTGACTCTAGAAAACTATAAAGCAATACTTGATTTCCTTCTGACAGCTAAAAAGAGAAAGGTCCATTTACCATCAGGTAAAATAAATAAATATGTTGTATACTATCAAATTGCTTCTAGATTTCTATTCACTAATGCAACACACACACTCACACCCCACACACATACAGAGGTACACACGAATTTATGTTGAGTTGTGATATTTTGTAGGAGATTATTTGCTCTATTTAAAAAAATTTCTATATTTTTATGGTATCAGCATGTATATTTGGAAATATCTATGTTTGTGTTCTGTCCTAAACCAATTTGGCTGTTCAGCAAATATAATGTTCTTTTTAAAATAATGGTAGCCTCCAGTAGTCAAGACAGGTGAAGACTTGCTATCAGATGTTCTGTTTTAGTGGAAGTAAGTTTCAGAACGAAGTCCACCAGACACACTGATGCAAGCAGGCATGGAAACAGTCACATAGCTGTATTATAGTACTGATTCTGTACTCAGGGGAGCCCACTCTTGCCTAGGATCTGCAACTAGCACCTTCCTTGAAAGCTCAGTCCAAGATGAATGCAGTAATATTCTGATGGCAGAACCAACCAATATTGTCATCTGGTCAGGTGACAGCGGGCTCCAGGAGGTGGTGAGGTACAGGTGAACAGGGCTCTCAATCTGGGTGCTGTACTGATAACACTGTTCCTAAGCAATCACCTATCTTGAATACCACTCATTTCATAAATAAAAATGTATTTCTAATATTTTTATGCTATTACAAACCCTCTTATGTAGATTTTTAATAATGGTACTTTAAGTGCTATGTAACTAATTGCTGATCAGGATACTTCATATGCTGGTTGACTGCCCCAGGAGTATTGATTCATATTTGAGGTACATGGCATGCTTTCTAATTTCTTCTAGGGTATAAATTAAGTTTAACTGGTTGCTGTATGTCATACCATGAATATTGAAGTATTTGAAAGTAATATAGACATAGAAAGAGTCTGAGTTTTGTATGTAGATTATAATATATAGCTTCTTGAGTGTTTTTTTTTTTGGGGTGAGAAAGATTGGCCCTGGGCTAACATCTGTGCCCATCTTCTCTACTATATATGTGGGATGCCTGCCACAGCATGGCTTGATAAGTGGTGAGTAGGTCCACACCCAGGAGCCGAACCTGTGGACCCCGGGCTGTGGAAGTAGAGCGCGCGAACTTTACCACTACACCACTGGGCCGGCCCCATGAGTTGTTTTTTTTTTTAAACTAGCTCCTTATCTAAGACTTCTCATGAAATCGGCAATAGAATATTCTGCTCTTGAGACTTATTTAATGCAGAGTTCTAAGAGAAGGTTTGTGGCAGGGGAAATTCTTTGTGTTTTTCTAGTACACCAACAGGAGAATGAGTGGCCAGGTTGCTGCATGGCCTAATTCCAGGGGACGCCACACACCTTCTAGTGTACGTGTCCTGGGAATGGCCTGTTTTGGGGGAAAATTAAGGAACAATGGGATCCTGTCATCCTCCCCCCCCAAAACATGACATTCTTGCATCTACATTGTTTCTTTGGCCTTCACCCTTGCCTAGAATGTTCTTCTCCGTAGTCTTCCTGTATGGCTAAATCATATCCACCCTTTAAGACCTAACTCAAGTGCCTCCTTCTCTAGAAACTTTCCCTGGTTCATTGTGTCCATGATAATCCTGTCCTTTCTCCAAGTTTATGTAGCATTTGTTATCTGAATTACTCATTTGATGCTTATCACCAACTGTGTTTTCTGGGACTTAATTCTCTGTTGTCAATAATATCATACTTTATTTTTGTACTGCAGATGCTGAAGAATTTTCGGCATTTATTAATTCCAAAATGAGTGATGAAGATGTTTCCAAGACACAAACGGTTTACAACCCAGACTCTCAATCAGATCTTTGTGCTAAAGAAAAGGATAAAGCAGCAAATTTGGGTCTATTGGATCATTTTATGAAAATCTTTTTATATTGCAGGAGAGCAATGGTAAGGTGGTCCTTCTTATTTGCTAATGTAGTAGACATACATCTCAGCCTATAAATTCGGGCATGTAAGATATATCGTATTTATTTACTTATTATCTGTAATTTTAGTTTCAACGTTGAGACTAAATTTGCTGGATTTTGTGTCAGTCATTTCTGAGGTTTGCCTGCCCTGGTACTGAGGTCTTAGGCATTGTCGAGTTGTCAGCGAGAGGGGTGAACTCCGTTAGTCTTCAGTCATCCGTCCACCCAGAGCTGAGGTGGCGTTTGTCCCTGTCTACACAGTCTCCATGAATATTCAGACACCTTTCTGCTGCTTTCTTGCCACACTTGGGACATGGGCCTCTCTAGTGACACCAGGGATTCCTTTCTGGGGTCTTGCTCTCTCCTGGGGTATCGTAGACTCCTCTGTTCCCACCAGCACAAGGGAAGATCTTTCTAGACTACATGAAAGCCTGGCCCCTGCCCCCTCACCCCCTACTATAGGTCACCTGTGTCTTCTCTCAAATGCTTTTCTCTCTTTTTCTTCTTAAATATTACATGATAGATTATTAAACTCAGAATTGGAATCATTAGCTACAAAGAAATTAGTTTCCTTTTTCTCATAGCAGGAAGGGGATATACTTCAAACCTCTCAAGAGCTGAGATGAAATCTATCCTTTCTAGAGAAGAAAGGAACACTTAGTCTTATATTCTCCATGGAGTGGAGAGAGTGATTTTTTTAAAAATGTGAAGTAACCTCACATCATCCCCCTGGTCCGTGAGCATTGCACCTTACCCTCCTTTCCACCAGCTTCAGGGCCCTAGAAGGTCTGGGTCCTGCTCGCCTCTCAGAACTCAGCTCCTCTTGCTCTTGTTCAGTTCACTCTCTCCTCTGGAAAGCACTAAGCTCATTGCCTCCTCAGCCTTCGGGTTTACCCTCCATCCTTTGCACTTGTTGTTCCCGCAGCCTCAAATGCCCCCCTCCGCCCGATACCCCCACCCCCAACTTCACATGACTTGTTCAACTCAACATTCAGGCCTCTGCTCGTATGTCACCTCCTCAGAGAGGACTTCTCCTCTGACCACCCTGTCTAAAACGATGTCTTCTCACCCTCATCAGGTTCTGACCCATTTCTGCTTTATTTTTCTTTACAACATTTATTATTCCCTGAAATTATATTTTTATTTGTCTGCTTATCTAGTGTCTGTCTCCTCTAATAAACAAAAGCAGCACAAGGGCAGACCTGGTTTCCCTCGCTCACTGCTACTTTCCCAGCACCTAGAACAATGAGAGTGTTGGAGTCAGACCACGGGTGTGCAAATCCTAGCTCACCACTTAGTAGACTCATGACCTGGGGCAGAAAGGTAAAGTCATTCAGGGGTCTGTAATTTTTGGGAATTTGGGGACTTTTGGATGTTGTGTTTGTCTTAGGTTCTTGCTCATCGTGGCGGCTATTGGACTCTGCTTCAGAATTGCTGTCGGGCCTTTTGGAACTTTACTCAGGAGTTGCAAATACTTCTTAAACAAGCAGTGGATCTGTATAAAATATTTCCTATTAACCAGGATGGTTTCCTCTGTACCTCTGTTTTACCATTCTATTTGGGAGCAGAATTACTTATCGACATGTTAATAGAACTACAAAATATCAATTCTGTTAAGGTAAGGGCGTGGGGGTAATTACTTTTATTGTATCCAGTTAACAAATTTTTTGTACCATGCAGCTTGGGATAAGTAGAAATTAATATTTTTCTTGAGTTCTTATTTGGTTTGTCTATATTTCATTTGCTTCTCATTATTATTTGGTTCACAATACATAACTTGCATTGATGTTAATTGCAAATATCTTAGCCTGAAAATTCAATTTCTTAAAGGGAACAGAAAGTAACATTTACTGAGCTCCAGCTTCAACATAAAGTAACTTTAATGCATTTAATCCTCATAGCAATCTTTTTGACAGAGAAAAAAACAGACCCCAAGAGAAATCATATAGCTCGTCAGTTGACCTTTATTTCACTGCTTTATCTGTCCCCGTGACTCCAGATCTGGCGGGATTTGCAGCCATTTTAAATCTACCACACCGTGGTTTAAAGCATGAAATAAAGTGGAAAAAATGCAAACATGATATAACCTAAACACATTGAAAATTAGTAAACACACAAACACATTGAGTGATAGAGTTTACAACATTTCTAGATGTAAATTATATGACAACAATAGCACAAAAGATTAGGAGGGTAAATAAAATTAAACTGTCATAAGTTTTTACACTTTATATAAATATAAAGTGGTACAATATTAACTCTAAGTGGAATGTGATAAGTTAAGAATTCATTTAATAATCCCTACAGTAACTACCACAAAAAGAGACATAGCTAAAAATCCAATGCAGTAAAACGGAAGACTAAATAATAGTCAATTAACTTAAAAAGGCAGGAACAAGGTAACAAGGAACAAAAATGTATGGGACAAACAGAAAATAAATAGCAAATAATAAATGTAACCCAATCATATCAATAAGTGTATTAAACACAAGTGGATTAAATACCCCAATTAAAAGGCAGAGATTGTCTGACTGGATTAAAAAAAAAAGACACGTATACTTATCCATGAGAAAAGCACTCTGAATGTAAAAAACAGATAGATTTAAAATAGAACAGTGGAAAGAGACATACCATGAAAATAGTAAGCATAAAAAAAGGCTATATTAATTTAGATAAAATAGTCTTTAAATCAAGAGGTATTTTGAGAGGTAAAGAGGGACATTTTATAATGAGAAGAGGCTCAATTAATCAGGAAGACATAGTAGGCATAAATGTGTATACACCTAATAACAGAGATTCAAAATATACTCTGGACACCCGAAGCTTGAAGAGCTTGCTGGTTGGTGAACACATTGATGTGTTGAGTAGGTGTTGCACCCTGACTCCTTGGGGAGTGGGCATGGAAACTCCTCATCCAGCACCCTTCCAGACCTTGCCCTCTGTACCTCTTCCAATTGGTTATTCCTAAGTTGTATCCTTTATAATAAAACTGTAAGCATAAGTATAGTGTTTTCAGTGAATTCTAGCCAATTATTGAACCCTAGGGGGCTATGGAAACCCCTGAATTTATAGCCAGTCAGTCAGAAGTGCAGGTGGCCCTGAGACTTGTGGCTTACATCTGAAGTGAGGGCAATCTTGTGGAGGACTGAGTCCTTAAACCTGTGGAGTCTGACCCTCACTCTGGGTAGTTTGATTTTGCTTTTTCCACCTGCTCCTCCTCCCCTTGAGCACTGCTCCGGCTGCACCTCGCTCCCTCTGAGCTCCGGCCTCCTGCTAAGCCGGGGCAGCTGTTGTCTCTCTCCAGCCGCCATCATGATTATTTACCTGGACCTCATCAGCCGTGATGAGATGTTGCCCAACATCTATAAGATCCTGGAGATCACAAACGGGCTGTGCCTGGAGGTGGAGGGGAAGACGGTCAGTATGACAGAGGGTAACATTGATGGAAATGTACTCTGCTGCACTGTGCTTTCAGGACCCAAGGTGAAGGTACTAAAAGCACAGTAATCACTGGTGTTGATATTGTCACGAACCATCACTTGCAGAAAACCAGCTTCACAAAAGGAGCCTACAAGAAGTAAATCAAAGATTACATGAAATCAATCAAAGGCAAACTTGAAGAACAGAAACCAGACAGAGTTAAGCTTTTTATAATGAAGGCTGCAGAACAAATCTAGCACTTCCTTGCTAATTTCAAAAACTACCAGTTCTTTATTGGTAGAAATGTGAATCCAGATGACATGGTTGCTCTGCTGGATTACTGTGGGGATGGTGTGACCCCATATATGATTTTCTTTAAGGATGGTTTAGAAATGGAAAAACGTTAACAAATTTGGCAATTACTTTGGATCTATCACTTGTCGTCATAACTGACTGCTGCTTTTCATCCACACAACATCAGGACTTAGACCAATGGAACTGATGTCATCTTGAGCTCTTCATTTATTTTGACTTTGATTTATTTGGAGTGGAGGCATTGTTTTTATGAAAAAACATGTCATGGTTGTCTAAAAATAAAATGCATTTAAACTCATTTGAGAAAATGCCTCTTAGTTTAATACGTATTGAAACTAAATCCATCTTATAGTGTTCCTGGAGAAGCTAGAGCCAGGTTGCAGACCACTATGAATAAGGATAAGACTGTCGTTAGGTAACTTCTACAGTTGTCTGAATTGGGACTGGAATATAAAAAACAAGAATCACAAGTCTGAATTCTAAGTTGAAGTAAAGGGCAAGACCATTTTTATAGCAGTGCCAACATTTGAAATGTATACTTATACATTTCACCACTTATAAATAGATGTAGTTAACTCTGGAAGAGATTACCAAAAGAGTAAGGAGACTAATACAGTTGGAAGGAAAAAAACAAAAACAAAAACAGAAAACAAACAAAAAAACCCAAAACAAGGTTCATTGATAATAAAAACTCACAGCAAACTAGGAATAAGACAACTTTTTCAACTTGATAAAGAGTAGTATCTACGGCTAACATCATAGTGGTGAAATATTGTGAACTTCTCTCTAAGATTAGGAACAAAGCAAGAACGTCTGCTCATACCACTTATATTTAATATCATGCCAGAGATCTTGACAAGTGCAATAAGGCAGATAACAAAACACAAGGCACACAGATTGGAAAGGAAGAATAAGAGTTTTTACATAGAAAATCCTAACTCTTCAGGACTCCAAAAAGCACCTACTAGAACTAATAAATAAAGTAGCATCATATAAGGCCAATATACAAAAATAAATTTTATTTCTATATAGTAGCAGGAAAAAATTAGAAAATGAAGTTTAAAAAATAGTACCATTTAAAATATCAAATATCTGGGAATATATTCAATGAAAACTGTGCAAGATTTCTACACTGAAAATTATAAGACATTGCAGAAAAAAATTAAAGAACACCTAGATTAATGAAGACATATGTCATACTGGAAGACTTACTTTTGTTAAAATATCATTTGTTTCCAATTTGGTCTATTGATTCAGTGCACTCCCAATGAAAATTTGAACAGGCATTTTTTTGGGGGTATAAACTGACAGTTTATTCTAAAATTTATAAGCAAATGCAAAGAAATGTGAATGGCCAAAAAAATTCTTTACAAAGAATAAATTTGGAGACCTCACTATCTGATTTCAAGGCTTAGTAGAGCTATAGTCCTTAGGAGAGTGTGATATTGGCATAAAAAAAGAAATATATCAATGGGATAAATAGAGAATCTAAAAATAGATCCATACATATGGTCAATGTTTTACAAAGGTGCCAAAGCAATTCAAAGGGCTCAAAAAGAAATGGCAACTCCTAGCACCCAGATTTTGTTCTCTAAAAACCATTTCTCACTAAAGGAAACAGGGCAAAACAAGGGGAAAGACTTGGGGGAAAAAAAGTCTAATTAAGTTTCCTATATGAACTATACCTGAGGATAACCAAATGGTTGATAAAGTGAAATTTTTCTTTACAGAAGTATTCAGGTAATAAATGAAGAAAAGATGTTGAAATTAGTATAAGGATTTTACAATCCTTAATGAATTAATTGGAGGAGTAACAACACCTATGAAGTATACCTGCCAGAAAAAATAAATCAAACTGGAATCAGATCAAGCATTTAAATCCAGCCAACATTTACCGAAAATCCAGGGGGCAGAGGAACATTTTAAATGAAACCATGGGGATGCAATCAGTAAAACCCAGACTATGGGAACTCTACAGGACAAAAAACCTCGTTTCTTCAACAAAAAACTGAAGTTAAAAAAGAAGAGATGGAACCTATAGATTAAAAAGGGCTTAAGAGACATAACCAATTGCAATGTTTGGACCCTATGTTGATCCCATTTCAAACTAACGCACTCTAAAAAAATTTTTATAAAACAAGGGAAATGTGAACACTAATTATTCAACAATGATTTTAAGGAGGATTTGCTAATTTCCTTTTTTAGGTGGAATTATAGTATCATGGCTATGTTTTTGTAAAAATAATTCTCTTTTTAGAGACATATACTGAAATATTTATAGATTAATTCATATAATTTTGGGGATGTAATTTAAAATAATGGGGGAAGTGGGTATGTGAATACGTGAAACAAAATAGGTCCCAGGTGTTGAGAATTATTGAAGCTGGTTGTGCGTACATGGGGTCTCATTATATTATTTTCTCTATTTTTGTAAGTGTTAGAAATTTTCTTTAATAAAAAGTTTTTAAAAAATTACACATGACCCATACTAAATCTTCAAAACATAAGGACTCTGGTCTTGACCATTCCAGAAACCTCACTCTTCATATGCTATTTTGATCCCCAAATGCCAGTGCTGTTTATTTCTCAATGTTGTTAGGTAATGTTACCCAAATTAGGAAGTGAATAGATAATACTCTTTCTTTTTTCCCTCTCTTGGGTTAGAATTAATTGAGAGCTGGGCACAGAATAAGACAGTTGGAGATACAATGTCAGCTTTGTTATTGATGAAAGCTATGTTGGAAGATGTAGTAACCACAGAGGGCTTCCTTATCCTTTATCCCGGAAATAAACTTACCACATAGTCATCAGCATGACTAACTGATAGCAGATACCCCTCTTCTTCAGAGATGGCCCAGGAAACTTATTTCGGTCTGGCCCAGGAAACTCACCCATGTCTGACTAAAGAACGTGTGATCCTATAAGCAGGCAGGCTCTGAGGGAGCAATTGCCCAGGAAGGGTTGAGTGGGACAGGTTTGATTTCTTCCACCCCCAACAAGAGGATTTAGTAAAGCCCAGGAGTGCCTCCACTTGGAAACCTGAGCCCAAGGAAATAGGGATAACTCATTATACAGATCTGTGCTGCTGGAAGTCTTACTGTAGAATTAGTGGATTATAGGGATTGAGCTCATAACATCACTAAAATGGCGATTACCCTTTACTGAGCTGTTCCACGTGTGAGGCACCACGCTAAGAAGGCAAAATCTCATAGATCACAGCTGTCATACCTATTATTCACACCTTCACAGCCTGACTTCAGGTATGCATATGGCATTTCACAGCCAGATGACTTCCAAGATCTCTTCCAACTTCAAGGACTATGAATCTTGTTAGAGGGGATGTTTATCCTCTACTTTTGTTGATACCTTCTCTCCCCTACTCACGGGTTGCCTTTAATGGTAAAACCAGTTAAGAGAGCTGGACTTGAGTTACCCAACTGTTTATTGGGCTGCAGCCTAGCCCATAGGTGGATCTAAGGAGCTTTGCTTTGCCTCAAGAATTTCCAGGAGTATATACAAATGCATCAGGGACTCATGCATTGTGGAAATGAACACACTAGTTACATAGTAACTCTTTAACTTAGGCAAAAAGAGAGTTTTCTAGATTTCCTTCTCCATAGGTTTGACCTTTGCATCGGGGAATTGGACATATTATTCTACAAATTGATGAATGTAACCCATGTATTAGGGAAACTTAATTATCTGTATATACTAAAACATGTTTTTCCTCAAAACTTTACCTAATTGGTTTAATATCCTTACATAAGTAGATAATAACTGTTTACCAAGAAGCATAGACTTTAATCTGTACTGTCTAACATGGTAATGACTAGCCATATGTGGCTATTTAAATTTAAGCTTAAATTAATTAAAATTAAATAAAATAAAAAATCCAGTTACACTAGTTACACTTCAATAACCCAGTATCCACATGTGCTTAGTAGCTACTGTATTGAACAACACAGATAGAGCACATTTCCATCATCACAGAGAGTTCTATTGGATAGCATTATCAAGCTTAGATTTGCATAATAAAAACATTTTAATATTTTTCTCTTCAGTTCTTTTCCATGTTATATTTTTATCTAGCACATTGAATTTTCAGAAAAAAATGTGTAGTAAAATCTGAAATTGCACCATTTTTTTTTCAATGTTCTACTCACAGGTTATTGAGGAAAAAGGAGAGTTCAGTGTTCCAAGCTGCTATGGAAATATTAAAAATGATAATGGTGGTTCTAGCCTTACTTTTGAGCATCCTTTGGATGATGTGAATGTGGTTGATTTGAAATGGATCCATGACTTTGTATTAAAATCCCTGGAAGTTTTATATCAAGTGGAAAAATGGGAAACATTGGTATCACTTGCCATTCAGTTCAATACAGTTTCACAGTAAGTACTGCTGTAAAGGCGATTGAAAGTGACAGACTTCATGGAAAAAAATGTGTTTTAGCTAATGTTTGCTTTTTAACCTATTTTTACCCCTGTCTAGTGAGAGATATACAGAGCAAGTGACACCACTCCTGGTATATGCACAGCGCCAGCTTCTTCTAAGAATTTCTAAGGTCAAGGGCCCAGATATTACCCAACAACCCTGTGTAAGACATGAGGCTGAATATAACGAGAAGGTAAGTTTCGCTCTATTATTCACACAGTTGTTATTTCTTATTAGTACACATATAAAACCTAAGGATTTAGGAATCAGATAAATGTTATTATTTGCACTAGGCATTTATCATCCAAATCATCCAACGTTACTGACAGCCTGCTATGTGCCAGTATTTTCCAGATACAGGGTGAACAAAAATTAAGTCCTTGTACCCAAGAAATTTATATTCAGGTCAGGGCTGCTTTATCCATTAGGCACTGTGGGGACAGTGTCTAGAACCACAACATTTTTAGGGGCCCACTGAATGTTTTAATCTTTTCTTAAATAAGAAGAAAAATGTAACTTTTAGGTCAAAGAAAATGTTTTAATTTTTACTATTAATATATTTGTATTTATACCAACAGAATCATAAAATATAATTTTTAATATTTTTTATGGAGACATGGGCCCACAAAGGCAAATGTGTCTAAGGCCCACGAAAGTCATGGTACAGCTTTGAGTTGGGTAGAGGAAAGAGATAAGTAAATTATCTCATTTATTATTTTAATAAAAAGGTATTGACTACCTAATCTCAGAGCCATTGCGTACCCTTGTACAGTCTGTGTCCTGCTCAAGGGCCCCTGGCTGAAATCCAGTCCCTGCCCCACATACCAGTCTGTGCTTGTGGGGTTGCAGCCACCCAGTGAGGACTCCATTTTCTTCTTCTCAGAAAGGGTCTTTATGGCCTGTGCATGTTCTTGCCTCCTGCGTATTCTCTGCGTATGCAGAGAGAATGTAGTCTGAGTTCTTGCTTTGTGGAGTTTAATTTCAGAGGGATGGAGGAAGGACCACATAATAAACATGTAAACAGATAAATAAAAAGATTTATGATAATTATAAGTTCTCTAAAGAAAATAAATAGGTCAATGGGATAGAGATAGGCTGGGGTGGAAGGTGGAACTTGAGCAAGGGGATCAGGAAGGGCTCCTGGAGATGGTAACATTGGATGGCAAGGGGCCAGCCATACAGAGAGAAGGAGCATTCCAGCCCAAGGGAAGAACGGGGACAAAGGTCCTGAGACGGGCCAGAAAGAAGGCCCGAATGCTGCAGTGTCGCAGACAAGGGGGAGAGTAAAACAAGTGGGCTGCTCCTTCTGAGTCATCTTTGTTGCTTCTTCCACTTCTCCCCAATGTCTTAATGTTAGTGTGTCCCAAGATTCTGTGCTTGGTCCTCCTGTCTTCTCTGTCCACCTACTCTGCCTTGGCGAGTTAATTCAGTCTGTGACTCTAAGCACTATCTTTATGCTGATGACTGTTGAATTACATCTCCAGTCTAGATATTTCTCCCGAATTTTGTGCCTGTATCAGTTAGGGTTCAATCAGAGAAGCAGAACTAGAAACATCTGCCTATCAATCTCTCTCTCTCTCTCTTTCTCTCCATCTTTCTATCTATCTGTCTGTCTACCTAACTATCTATCTATCTATCTATCTATCTATCTATCTATCTATCTATCTACCTATCTATCTATCTAGAATTGGCTTATGTGATTGTGGGGGCTGGCCAAGCAAGTCCAAAATCTGTAGGGTAGGCAGTCAGGATCATGAGCAGGAAGGAACCCTACAGGTGTGGCCAGAAGCTGTTATCCATAGACAGTCAATGAGGGAGGATCCAGTGAGGAGAGAACAGTTATAGACTTGGATGCTGCTTGGAGTTGGGAGTCTGGAGACCACCAGCATGTCAAGGATTCACTTGATTAGGTCAGGCCCACTGAGGATAATCTCCCTAGTTTAAAGCCAGTTTATTAGGGACTTTAATTAGTATCTGCAAAATCCCTTCAGAGCAGCACCTAGATTAGTGTTTGATTGAATGACTGGGATGAGGTGTGTGTATGCTGCAAAATGGATTCTTCCTTCCCTTTCTTCCTCATAGTTTAGCCTAGCCAAGTTAACTTATCAAAAAACCGTCACACTGCCTAATCAATATCATCTCTTAGATGTTTAACACACTTCTCAAATGTAGCACATCTCAAACAAACCTATTCTGTCGAGTCTTCCCCACTTCAGTTGATGACAACCACGTTTCTCCTCGCTGCTCAGGCCAGACACCTTGGCGACATCCCTGACTCCTCTCTTGCTTTCACACCTGCCTTCGAATTGGTTACCAAATCGTCTATCTTCAAAATACGTTCAAAAGCTGACCACTTCTCGCTACCTCTAGCACTACTGCTCTGATCCAAGCCATCGCTATATTTGCTTGGATTAATGCAGTGACTTCCTAATTAGTTTTCTCGCTTCCAACCTCCCTGAACCCCTGCCTCCAGCTTAGAGTCTGTTCTCAATGCAGCAGATAGAACGACCCTTTACAAACCTAAGTCAGACCATGTTGTTCCTCCTCTTTAAACCCTACAGCGGCTTCCCATCTGATTCAGAGTTAAAGTGAACATCCTTATCACGGCCTTAAGGCCCCATATAACTTATCTCCCTGTGATCTCCAGGAACTCCTCTCCTATTACTCCCCTGCAGGTTTCAGCTGTTCTGTTCTTTAAGATGTTCCTGCCTCAGGGTCTTTGCATTTGCTGTTCCCCTGCTTGGAATGCTCCTCCCCCAAATATCCACATTGATATTTCTTTCACCTATTCCCTGTCTTTGCTAAATGTCACATTCTCTGTGAAGAATTTCCTCCCTTCCCTATTTAAAATTATGTACCTGTTTGCTCTATTTCTCTCTATAGCATTTATAACTCTTTAATATGCTATATAATGTACTTGTCTATATTGTTTATTATCTTCCTACTTCCACTAGAATAAGTTCCATAAGAATAGGAATTTTTTTTTTTTTTTTTTTTTGCTGTGGAAGATTTGCCCTGAGGTAACATCCGTTGCCAATCTTCCTCTTTTTGCTTGAGGAAGATTCACCCTTAGCTAACATCTGTGCCAGTCTTCCTCTATTTTGTATGTGGGTCGCAGCCACAGCATGGCCACTGACGAGCGGTATAGGTCCACACCCAGGAACCGAACCTGGGCTGCACAAGCAGAACGTGCCAAACTTAACCACTAGACCATGGGGGTGGCCCCAAGAATAGGAATTTTTGTTTACTCTGTTCTCTGCTATATCATTCTTTTTTTGTGTGTGAGGAAGATCAGCCCTGAGCTAACATCTGTGCCAATCCTCCTCTTTTTTGCTGAGGAAGACTGGCCCTGGGCTAACATCTGTGCCCATCTTCCACTACCTTATATGGGACGCTGCCATAGCGTGGCCTGATAATCAGTGCATTGGTGTGTGCCCGGGATCTGAACCCCGGGCCGCCAGCAGCGGAGCGTGTGTACTTAACCGCTACGCCACGGGGCCAGCCCCTGTATCATTCTTGAGCCTGGAGCAGTGCCTGCCATGTGATAGGTATTCAGTAAAGATTTATTTAATGAAGCTGGGGAGGTGGGAAGGACTAGGTCAAGCAGGGCCCTCTTAGGCTGTGGGAGGGAATTTTCCTTTTATTACACTGTGTTTACATCTCATTGTAGAAGTACCTACACGAGGCTACACAGAAGCAGCGTCTACGTCAGACGGGGGTTCAAGGAGGGCTGTACTTTGAGCAATAGGTTAGTTCAAGGAGCGGGAGTGGAGAAACAGAGAGATGAAGATCTTAGACCTTTTAAAAGATTTCCTTCTGGCTAAAAATGTTCCGTTTCCAGATATTTTACAATTTCAGGACACAACTATCTATTAGAAAATAAATTTTTAAAATACTATGGAAGATGTTAGTTCTGAGAAATTTCACCAGGGAAGTTTAAATTGTGTTAATTACAAGTAGGGTAGAAAAATCTGCCACTGGAAAAAGTAGCCTATATTTTAAATGTTTACACTTACATAATGGAAGGTATATTTAGACTAGCAAATTTATAGAATATCAGAAAATCAAATTCTAATTGCTCTACATAATGTGTATAATGCTCTTCTAGCTGTGTTGTATAAAAGAAACATGAAAAATTATGTAGCCACTTTTTTTCTTGAAAGTTCTTGTGATTGAATGCTGCTCTGTGAGCTTTTATTTGTAGCATCCTTCTGTCTCTTTTTTTTGACAAATGAGAAATAAGATAAACATTTCAAATGAGCTAAATTTTTGGCTATAAATACCTAAGTAATATTTGTTTTCATCTTTCCTTTTTAAGATAACCTGCCGAAATTACATTGGGAAGCAGCTCAAAATTAATCCTCGAACCGCTACAGTGACAGATACAGAGGACTGCACAGATTTCCTAAGAAAACTTATCTATTCAGGTTGGAAACAATTTTAGCTTGAAACTCTTTTTTTAAATTTTTTTTGTTACTTTTTTTTTTTTGTGAGGAAGATCACCCTGAGCTAACATCCATGCCCATCTTCCTCCACTTTATATGGGATGCCGCCATAGCATGGCCTGACAAGTGGTGTGTAGGTCCGTGCCTGGGATCTGAACTTGGGCCGCCAACAGTGGACCGTGTGCACTTAACCGCTAGACCACGGGGCCGGCCCCCTTGAAACTCTTTTAAAGCAAGGTTTGCTCCTGTGTTCTGCATGTCAAATCTTCCATGATTAAAATGTTTGCAAAATCTCTTTTGCAGGTTTATTTGACTGAAAATAACCTATTTGGAATTTACCATCTTATGTTGCTAAAAATGTCGCTTAAAGGAAATTAAAACACATTTTTATTAATTTAATCTGTAAAGTAAAGAAGGGAAATAAAAGAAAAGAAGAAGGAGAAAGGAAGTTGATGATAAAAAAAATGAAGATGAGAAAAGACTGTTTTGTACATTTTCCCCTGTTTTTATCACACTTGGGAACTCTTCAAATTGACCTTTTGCTATTTTCTTTGTTCTGTCTTCCCTTCCATAATAACTTACACTTCCATAATCACATAGATTGTTCTCAATCAACTTTACCAAAGTTAAATTGTCAGTCTTTTAATGAGAGTGCAGGAGAAGATTTGGGAACATCATGACTCCTTTGCTTTAACTAATAAGCCCTCTTGGAATATTCTGGCAGCGCAGCCAGTAGGAATGAGGCAATAGAAAAAGATGAAAATGGAAATAATGCCTTCTCTCAATTGCACTTTTCGTGTTTCTGTTTCTCGTACAAGAAAGAAATGCAAGTCTTCCCTTTGAAGTGTTAGGATTCTTTCATTTCTTTATCTATTGATTTTATGTACGTACGTGTGTATGTATGTAATCATTCATTCGTTCATTTGTTGAGTCAGTCAGGCAACCATTCAGTCATTCAGCAAGCATTTACTGAGTATCTACCATGTGTTAAGTGCTGTCCTGGGTACTGAGAATACAAAGATGAATGAGACTAAAGATTTGTTATCCAGGAGTTTACAGCCCATTGAAGGAGACTGATAAGTAAACCAGAGATTACAGGATAGAATGATAAGATCGGTAATATTATGACTGCTGCTGCTGCTATAAACAATAATAGTTAACAGCAAGCATCGCTTTTGAGAGACTGCAAGTAATTTAGTGGAGCTAAGGTAAAAGCAAAAGCAAAAGCTGATGTTGGAAAGGTTGGCAGGAGTTAGATAATTAAGGGTCTTAGAAGGCAGGATAAAGAGATTCAGATTTATCTGGAGAGCTGAGGGGAGCTAGTTAAAAGGATTTAAAGAAGGAAAGTGAAATGATCATATTTGTGTTCTTGAAAGATTCCGCAGCAGCATGGGGAATGGATTGAAAGGAGAGCACGTGGAAGCGGGAGAGTGGCTATTCCTGACTTGTGTGTTATAGACAGGATGAGGGCCTGGACTTAGGTGGTGAGAGTAGAGGAGTGGACAGGTAGGAGAGAAAGGCTGAAGTCCACAAGACTGCGTTCTCTACTGGGTAGATGAGGAGGGGAGGAGTCCAGGTTGCCTTGATTTCTGGCTTGGGTGGCTAGATGGATGTGATGTCTTCACCCTATAGGAAAACTGAAGGGAGGGGCAGGTCAGAGGAGACGGTGACCTTGGAATTACTGAGTTTGAGGGGCCTGGATGACAGTTAAGTAGAATGATCCAGTATATGGTTAGATAAACTCGTGAGGCACTCAGCAGAGATTTGTATTTTAGTCATCAGTATATTGCTAGTGGTTGAAATCAGGGGCTTGTATGAGGTCACCCAGGGAGAGTTATGTGGAATGTAGACGTGAGATTGGCCTCATTTTGGAAGACTTGTCAGTCAAAATGAGCTAGGCTGTGCAGCAGTAACAGACAACCCCCAAATCCCATTGCTTTCACACAAGGGGAAGTCTATTTTTTGCCCATGCTACTGTGTTCAATGAGGTTGACTACCGAGCTGCTATTTATTGTGGGTTGATGGGATCTCCATCTTGACACAAACTTCCGTGATTGTTTCCAAGGCAGGAAATAGAACACTGATTTACCCTCTAGGGGAGCTATACTGAGAGGCATGTAGTAAATGGTTAAGAGCACAGCCTTTGAAGCCAGACCACATGTGCCAATACTATAAGCTTTATGCTAAAGGCTCTAGATGGATTGTCTCATTTCGTTATTCTAACAACCCCAATAAGAGAATTGTTATGATGCATTGAACAGCAGACCCTCTTATAAGTGCATTGTGAGTATTAGCTTACAACCACCAATGAGGTAGGTTTGTTATTGTCTCCATTGTTCAAGCAGGAAAATAATATATTTTATATTCTTTTTTATATTTTATAAGTTTATATTCATGATACATATAAATTATACACTGGCTCTTAAAGCTGCTGTTTGAAAGGAACATGTCAGTTCTGCTAACATTTCATTGGCCAAAGTCACATGACCACATCTAACTTCAAAAGGGGTAGGGAAGTGTCATCCTACTCTGTGCCCCAAGGATAAAGAGACAGAATATGTGAAGAGCCCTGATGACTGTCTCCACAGCAAACAGAGGAAGAGCAGTATCTGCAAAAGACTGGGAGTGGTCTGAGGGGTGGGAGGTACAGCAGATGATGGAGGTGGAAACAAGGCCAAGGCAAGAGAGACATTGAGGAAGATGAGGCAGTCAACAGTCAGAGAGATCACTTAAGATGAGGACAGACTGTCTATTGTATTTGGGAGGTCACTGTCACTGCCCTTTTTGCTATGACCCCCTCACCTTCAGGCCTTGGTCTAGCTGTTTCTCCTTCTTGAAATGCTCTCCCCCCATCCAGATGTCTGTCCGATACACCCCTCACCTGCTTTAAATCTTTGTGCACATCTCTTCTTTTCAATGCAGCTTACTCTGACCATTCTATTTAAAACTGCACCCTGCCCGCCTCCTCCCAATTCCCCTTTACTCTGCTAAGTGTTTTCTTTTTTCTGAAGCACTTATCACCATCTATCATACTGTGTAACTTAGTTCTTTATTGTATTTATTGATTACTAGTCTGTTTTCCCAATACAATATAAGCTCTATGAGGTAAAGGATCTTTGTTTTGTTCACTGATATTTTTGAAATGCCTTCATCAGTGTCTGAAACATAGTAGGAACTCACTATCTATTTGTCAAATGAATGACTTTGTGACCTTAACAAGAGTAGCTTCAAAGAAATGGTGGGAGAGGAGTGGAAGCATTTTGAGTGGCGGGTGCGGTCACGGTGAGCTGTGCTGCAGAGAGTCATTGAACAGAGAATTGCGTTTCAGAAAGCTTAGCAGTGACAAGAAAGACAGAGGCAGAGGCAGCTAGAGGGAAACGTGGAGCTCAGGAGGGCTCAGAGGGCTTTATTTTGTTTGTCTGTTTTTAGTACAAGACAAGGAACATATTCCTATATTAAATGGAAAGAGCCAGTAGAGAGGGAGAGCTTATAGACAGGAGAGAAAGATATTTGATAGGGCAAGGAGGTTGAGGAGAAACAAGGCAGAGAATGGGATACAGGGGAATTAGCCTTAGACAGGAGGGTGGAACACCCCCCCGCTAGGGCAGAAAGGAAGGGAGAATAGGCCCAAATGCAGGCAAGTTTGTGGGTGGTAAGTGTAGAAGTTGAGGGCGTTCTCATTGGGTACTGGAGCTTTTCTTAATAAAGTAGAGGGTGGAGAGCATGGTCGAGGTTGATAAGATAGGAGATTTCAGAAGGGATGTGAAAGAGAGGACTGGCCACTGAGGAAAATAGGAGAAGGGAAAATAGAAGGACTTCAGAGCAGTGTAGAGGGTCCCATTGAGTGAATTTGGTGACCATGAACTTGTAGGTTTTACTGCCAATGACAAATCAAATTATCCCCTCATATTCAGTAAACAATGGGAGGACTACCTTCCTGTGGTCAATCACTGCGAGTAGTCCCCATCAAAGAGTGTGATTCTTCCTGGGTGTGTTTTCCTTTTCTTGATCTCGTCTGTCAAACCTCTGGAGATCCTCCAATTTGGGATCCATAACTTGGAATGTGATATATGTTGTCCACTCCATCCTAAAAGGAGCTGGCAACAAATTTGAGGAAATGTGTTAAAAATGCTTGTCATCAAAATAGTGACTTAGGGAATGGGAAAAACATACCTGGCAAAAATCTAGACCTATGTCACCGGTAGGTGCTTATTGATGAAGGGTGCAACATGGCAGACAAGCACTTGACTTGCCTGTTGTTAAAGTTACATTTGGACAGGCAAGGTGGTGGGTGGTGGGACAGAAAGGAAGGGAGGTAGAATCAGGCTACAATGGTCCTTTGGGTTGATTCTCAACAGTGGTGGAAGTATAGCCAGTTTGAGCAATGATTAGAGCATGAATATTTGAATGGATAAAAATCTAAAAGATATTGTAATGTCAGTGATATTTAATTGGGCCAGGCACTATATTTTGTACCTTATTACCATTAGCTTCTTTAATTTTTACAATATTAGGAAGTAGATATTATTATGTTACATTACAGGTGAGAAAAACAAATGTTACTAGTAAGTGGTGGAACATGATTCAACCCTGGTCTGTTTGATTGCTCAACCTGTAAGTACTTCACTGAGCTATCAGGCCTGTTCATTGTTTGTCCCCTTTCAGCTTAGACTCTGCCTAAACTCACAGCACTCAAGAAAAAAATATGCTATATAACAATGGTCATGGGGAGACAGATACTTTATTCTGACTTTTTGTATGGCATGGTAATTTTTAGACGATCCTGTATCCTAATTATAGGTTTTATATTGAGACATTATCATTAAAATCTTGGCATCCACCTTATAGCTCCTTATAAGACTCTAGGACCTCTGTGACTAGGAGCATGTTTTGGCCCACGTTTTTGAGCTTATTTGACAAATTTTTAGGATGCTAAATCTTTTTCAATATACTGAACTCAGATCATTAACATGTTTATAACA